CTCTCTCTCTCTCTCTCTCTCTCTCTTGCTCTTTCCTCCTCTTCTCCTATAGTGTTATATCGCATACTTTATATAGTCCTGGAAGAGTCCATGTTGCGGTCTCGCAACAGATATCCAACGCAAGATTTTTTGAAAAATTCGCAATGGCTCTCCATCGATTCTCTTTTACCAAAATAGATAAAATGAATCCCATACTCTCAAAAATGGCTTTCTTCTCTGTGCCGTGTCCCTGCAGGGTGTGGGCGATCATATCTCACCACAATCTCCCGTCTTTTGTACCTGTTAATATTTTTTCCTTTTCGCTATTTCTACTAATTTCTGTTCTGCCAACCATTTACACAGACTGTTTAAGTAGTTTTTTCACTTCTTTCCATTTTCCCTCTTGCTTTCAATATGTCCTGTGAGTGTCAAATCTTCCAAGCCGACTTTCCCTCTTATGTACCCTACGGATAACTTTCTCTTTCTGATGTTAAGTATAAGTGCCTGTTTTATTCCCAAATCCCCTAAAACTTCATTGCTGCTCACATGTTCAGTGTATCAGCATAGAACGTCATTTCTGTTACTTCAAGTCTCTTCTTCATCTTTGAGGAGATTTTCCAGCACTCAATTTAAGGTAGCCCTCTTTTCTTTGTTTCTCGCAAAGATTTTTCTATTTCTTAATGCTCTGCTTAGCTTTTGTAAGGCACCTTTGGCTATCCCAATGCGCCACTGGATTTCAGTGTCGGACTTTTTTTCCTACGCCAGAAAATAGCGCAGCTGTGTATATTAAAAAGCCATGTTGCTTATTAAAAAATGTGAAGGAAAGCACGAATGGTCTTTATGACCCCTATCGCTTAGAATATAACTTTAATTTCAATTTCTGTGTATTTGAGGCATCAGACATTCAGACATCTTTATTTTTAAAAAGTATTTTCCGGAAGACAGAAGGAAAGTAAAAATAATGCACTGGATTTTTGTCCTTTCTCGATTATTTTCCCGTACGTTAAGCAACGTCAAAAGTGGTCAATACTTAGATGGGCGACGGCTTGAGCTTGCCTATGTGGCCGGTGTCATGGATAACGACTAGGAATTGTTAATTAAAGAGCCGAGTTGTGATTCCTGTTGCTTTCGTTATATTATCTTACGCTAAAATACCTTTGGGAAAAGGTATGAATCCACTTTTTCTGTCCGCAGCTATGAGTTAATTAGTATGACTTGTATCACTAAACCATTATTGTCTCAAAAAAAAAAAAATTAATCTAAAAATATTGGATTTAAATATCCTGCAAACGTTTGATAAACCGAAGACAATGAATCAATTAACAAGCAAATCAATCAATCGAATACTTTTAGCTTTCCTTATGTAGAGACATTCAGTCTAAATAAGCCTAACTGCACGATGCCCAGAATATGGATTGCACAACTTACAAATAATGGCCAACTAAGCGCGATCTCGCACACACACACACGCACATACACATACGCTCACTCACATACACATACGCACACGCACACACACACTATCTCTCTTACACACATGCATACACATACACGCGCGAGCGCACACACACACACACACTCTCTCTCTATTCTCTCACACACACACACGCGCACACAATCACACAAATAATAATATATATCTTTATATATTTTTCCAGTATTATTTTTAGTGGACACCCATATTTGAGTAAACGCTCCTTGTATTTTTTTAAACAATATTTAATTTTATTTTCTTCTATCGGCCTGAATATTCGTAAGTACCGCCAGTCAGTTTTTCGATACCTAAGGTTTAAAATAATATTTTTTTAAATTAAAAAGGATTCTTAAAGTTTTTTTATTTTAGCTTTAATTGAAAGCTAAAGAATTACATTTATTATTTCCAGTAAGTAAAATATTCTGGTGTATTTCACATAGAAATTATATAGATTGGAATGTCAAATATATTTTATATATTTTTTTAATTTCTTAAAAGCGGACATTTTCTTAAATTTTAAGAAATTTGTAAAAAAAAAAAAAAATTTCGATTTTAAACTGCTTCCTAAAATAAATTATATATTTTTGACACGTTGAGTAAAATTAGAAAATTTAATGTTAAATTAATCTGATTTGAAACAAACATTACTTACTTATAGCATAAAAAAATTGTATACAAACATTCTTAACGATGTGTCTGAATTTTCTAGTGAATTTATTCACGTTATCGATGTCATTGAAAAGTGACGAGGTGATGACAGATACTATGGATGACCAAAATTTATATAATTTTACGAAATGTAAGCGAACGAATTTTGTTTTTAAAATATTAACATTTTTTCAGCAATTGTGTAATATTTTTTATTTCATACTTTTTTTTTAGTCCGGGTTTCGTTTTTTAGGGTCTTAATTTTCTTATCTTATTTAATAACTTACTAACTTAAACAAAAAAAATTAATTCAATGAAATATGACCCAAACTAAAATAAATGCCTAAAATAAAAAATATTTAGTAAAAAAAATAATTAACAAAAATTAAAACTAACTTGGAAATTTTTAAAGGACTTTTTTGCAAACACGTTAACGATGTGAAACAGAACCGGATATCGAAGGGAAATAATTGCAGTGACTCAGACGACAATCAAATTACGTGACCTTTTTAAGGATTATGTCATGTATAGATTCCCCATAGATAGAAATTAGGAACATTTTTTCACTAAAAATTATTTTTAAAATATTCAGGTACAAACAACTGTTATGAACTTTACAAATTTCGATTCGTAAATTTACTTTTCACTTAACTATATCACCAAATTGCATGTTTAAAAGCAATGAAGAATTTTAAACGATTTTTGAAGTAAATAATTTTTTTAAAAAATGAAAAAAAATCTCTTGGAAAAATGCATTATTCATCAACAAAGTTTTATTTCTTCAGACAATAATGTCCTTAATATAACTTATTTACAAAAGCAAGTAAAACCTTTTCTAATTAAATGATGTCATAGTTATTTTTCATTTATTTTACAATTCAGAGCAGATTTTCGATGAAACAGGTAACTGATTTACAAAAATAAAAAAATAAATAAATAAAATAAAATAAAAAAAAACTGGTGATTTAATTTCTCTAAAGAGTCCTGTTTTTAACTAATAAAAAACAATCTCACTCTTAAAAATTTAATTTCTCGAAATTTCATGAAAATATGTAAGGGGGTAAAAACATGTAAAAAGGAAATATTTTTTACTAAGATGTTCTAAAAAAAAAAATTAAAAAAATAATTTCATTCATTTCTGAATGTATCCTGAAATTTCATTAAAATCCGACGATTATTTGAATTTTGCAAGAATTTCCAAATGAACGTGAGTTTTCCGCGGGAAAAGCGCAAAATAAAACAAACCTCTTTTCTCTTTTCGATCACGTAAAAAAAAAGGAGGTATTTAGCCAAAATTTTCAACGTACTAGAAAGAAGTAAAAATTTCAAAAATAATAAAAAAATACTTTGGTCTTTCCTCTTAATAACAACATAAACATTTTGATGACAAAACCTTGTTTTCGTTGAGTTATGGGCCTTTTTTCATCGTGCTATGCTGTTTTTTACGCGACCTAGTGGAGGTACCTATATATATATATATATATATATATATATATATATATATATATATATATATATATATATATATATATATATATATATATATATATATATATGATTCATGCTAGACGTAATCGTCAGGCCTGAGGATTGCGTCTAGCATGAAACAGCCTGTCGCCTCTAAGTGTTGACTTCAATGTTCACTTTATATTTACACACGCTCTATCTCTGATATTGAGCACTTTATACCATAAATATAGAACACCTTAAAACTATATTTCTTTTATATATATATATATATATATATATATATATATATATATATATATATATATATATATGTGTACGTATGTTAATCATGACTTGTTTTCAGGGTTCTAAAAACCCAGCTAATTTTCAATACTTGCAGAAATTTTACGAAAAGGAAAATCTACAAATATATTGTGATTAATCGAAAAGAGTTGACTGGCATTTTTTATTGAATATAATGTAGAAAGAAGACTTGGGAAATTTAAGATTCACAAGGCCCATAGAAGGCAAAAGAAACAGAATAATACAGTTAGGAACCTAAAAGTGTGAGTAAATGGCTGGATGAACAAGAATCATTTGTACAAAGAGAAGTTATAAAGTAGCAGGTATTATTAAATGAAATGAATGGCACGAAGCTGAGGAGAAACATAAGTGTTTACATACTGAAGTGACATATTGGCACAGATTAACTGAGTGATAGATAGATAGATAGATAAATAGATAGATAGATAGATAGATAGATATGAACATATTGAGATAGATAGGTAGATAGATAGATAGATAGATAGATAGATATGAACATATTGAGATAGATAGATAGATAGATAGATAATGAGCATATTGAGATAGATAGATAGATAGATAGATAGATAGATAGATAGATAGATAGATAGATAATGATATATTGAGATAGATAGATAGATAGATAGATAGATAGATAGATAGATAGATATGAGCATACTGAGATAGGTAGATATGAACATACTGAGGTAGATAGATAGATAGATAGATAGATAGATAGATAGATAGATAGATATGAACATGTTGAGATAGATAGATAGATAGATAGATATGAGCATAGATAGATAGATATGAACATACTGAGATAGATAGATAGATAGATAGATAGATAAATAGATAGATAGATATGAAATATATTGAGATAGATAGATAGATAGATAGATAGATAGATAGATAGATAGATAGATAGATAGATAGATAGATAGATAGATAATGATATATTGAGATAGATAGATAGATAGATGAAGAAATTTTGAAAAACAAATCCTTAAATGTAGTTAAATGAAAGAAATGTCGATCTGACGTTTCGGTTTATTAAACCTTTTTCAAGACAATATTCATCAAAATACAATTCAGTTCAATATGACAAATACGATGGACATAAAACACAAGTCTTATTCAGATATTCTTATAGATAGATAGATAGATAGATAGATAGATAGATAGATAGATAGATAGATATGAGCATACTGAGATAGGTAGATATGAACATACTGAGGTAGATAGATAGATAGATAGATAGATAGATAGATAGATAGATAGATAGATATGAACATGTTGAGATAGATAGATAGATAGATAGATAGATAGATATGAACATACTGAGATAGATAGATAGATAGATAGATATGAACATATTGAGATAGATAGATAGATAGATAGATAGATAGATAGATAGATAGATAGATATGAACATATTGAGATAGATAGATAGATAGATAGATAGATAGATAGATAGATAGATAGATAGATAGATAGAAAAAGAATGAGATTGCTACCAAATTACCTTAAGTTATAAAATTATAGCAACAGATTTTTAAGAAACAACCAGAGATAATTTTCATTTTCGTTTTTAGTATTAAGTCTCATATATAGTAATGGTAAAATTCTTCGGTTTTCAGGTTAAATTTCGGATTTGTATAAAAACAAAAGAAAATTCCTTTTTCTTTTACTACAGTACAGTAGCTTTGAAAAAATTCTTTTGCGGACATTCCATTCAACAGAAATACTTTTTTTATTTTCTATCGTTTTCTCACTTTCACTCGAAATGAATTAATGTGCACGTATTTTTTATTCCATATATCTTTATGACACACCTGTTCGGACGTCATATAACGATTTTGTGCTGAACCCATAGTAATTAGCAGATAATTGTAGAAAGAGATATGCACAATAGGCTATCAGTAAAACATGACGGCTGACAAAGCATCTTCTCGTTCTCATGGCTTATTCAAAGATTCCATAATTCTCTCAATAGATATGAAGTCATGAATACATGTACGCCTTGAGAAATATTAACATCTCCTAATATCCATAGAAATTATTTCTAGTGGATTAAAGTGTTGGTTCTTGAATTTGATAACATTGTAATAAGGAGTTCAATCTCTATACTGGATAGTGCAGATTTGGTAACAGGGTGTGTAATGCCTGAAAAGTGATAAATATAAACAAGAAAACATATCCTTACAGATGGGCAGCAGAACAAAAACAATCTAAAGGATTCAGTTCAAAATTCTCTGAAGTTTACTCGAATTTTCTCCTGAAGAAGGCAGATAGACATAAAAGCCGAAACGTTGTGACAATATGAGAATATTATTCCAAATATAAATAATGTAAATTTTGTTTTATATTTTAAACTCCCGTCCTATTTTTTGCTTAAGCTTATATTTTGTTATTTGTGCTTATATTTTTAAAGAAGTCATCAATTTATTTTTTATTTACTAATCCAACATATTTGTAGCACCTTAAACATTATTTTTTTTTAGTGGATAACCATATTTGAGTAGACGCACCGTTTTCATTTTTTCAACAGTATAATTATTTTGGTCTAGCGTTCTGAACGTTCCATAAATCTTGTTGAAGAAAAATAAGCACTACAGGAGGACTCGAAACTGAGTCACTCTTTACAAGTGAAAACGTTGTTAGATCCGACGAGCTTTTAAACGACCAGGCTACGAAGAGAGTCGTCGAGTAAGCAAGGCTGAATAGTGCCTTTTACGCAGAGATATACAGTTAAAAAATAAACGGTGCGTCTATTCAAATATGGGTATGAACCAAAAAATACCGTTTATTGTGTGTGTGAGTAAATATATATATATATATATATATATATATATATATATATATGCTTTTGATGCTGATGATCCAGGAATATATATATATATATATATATATATATATATATATATATATATATATAAAAAGTTTCAAATTGAAAATTATAATGTTTTATTTTATGAAAGTATTTATTTATTTATATATATTTTGATATTTCAAATTGTCCTCAATTTTTCATCAGAAATAACTGTTTGTTACAAATGAATTAAAATTACTGTTTGTTAGCAAGTAGCGTCTTTCGCGAGACGCGGACGTCACGTGATATGGAATATTGTTTTCTTGTTCGGATATTCCTAACTTAAATCTGTCATAAATATTTAAAAATAATCTTTACTATATCTAAAAAAAGTGACGTTCCATATCACGTGACGTCCGCGTCTCGCGAAGGACGCTACTTGCTAGCAAACAGTAATTTTAATTTATTTGTAACAAACAGTTATTTCTGATGAAAAATTGAGGACAATTTGAAATATCAAATATATATATAAATAAATAAATACTTTCATAAAATAAAACATTATAATTTTCAATTTGAAACTTTTTCTATATATACATATTAAGAAAGTATACGTGGCTTCTCATTATATATATATATATATATATATATATATATATATATATATATATATATATATATATATATATATATATATATTCATCATCATCAAAAGCAGTATGCTTAAAACTCTTTCAAATCAATTCAACGGAAGAGATAATCTCAGATATTAATACTGTTTCGTTGAATAATCTTGACACATTATGTCTGTTTATTTTTATCGTAATGCTCTCAAATTCATAGATCGATTTCTTAGTGTTGTTAGTAAACCGATTAATACTTTCAAGTATTTTCAATCGCATCGCATCTTCAGGGATCACTTGTTAAGACAAAAAAAATGAATGTAATTGATAGTTGTGAATTTTAACTATAATTCTAATTGAAATTTTGTCCCATTCAGTTAATTTAAAATATATATATATATATATATATATATATATATATATATATGTATATATATATTTTATATGTGTGTTGTGTTTTTTTGTGTGTGTGTGTGTGTGTGTGTGTATAATACTATAAAAAATGAATATATTTTACCCTTCTGTACAAACCGACTTTCAACCGTCAGGTAGCCAAGCAAATTATGTTCTTCAACACAACCTACTTTTCTTTTTAATCAATATTATATTACAGGAAGTCAAGAAGAGGAAGAGGCGTGTGCGAGTTAGTCTATGTCGCCATCAAGGGAAAATATATATTAGTAACAGTGTATATATGTCTGTGTCTAGTAAACTTAATATTTGTTGAGTTTTCCAATATTAATTTGAGAATGTTTTTACGTACATACGATTTGTTTTGAATAAACGTAAGTGAAATTCTTTAAGAATGGCTTCAATAAAGGTTGGCGATGTAATATGTTTTTGATGTATATTTATAGGTGGTAATAATGTTACTATTAGGCCCGGAAAGTACATTCTCTTTAAAATCATGTTCGTTTTTAATTAGGCTGGCATTAGTAAAATCAAAGTTATGACCAGTTTTGTTCCTGTGTAATGTGAAAGAATGTGAATCGTTGTCTAAACGTAAATCCCTTTTAAGTTCATAGATACGGACTTTGAGATCATGTGACGCCTCCCCTATATATAGTTTTTTCACATTGTAAACTTTTTATTAGTCTTGTATCAAAATCTTTCTTGTTTAATAAGTCTTGAATAATGCCTTACTCGTTTTCTTGATACATACTTCATATCTTTCGCACTTTTCGCTTGTGAAACTTTCTTCCAACTTCTTGATTTCCAACTTCTCATTTTTCTTCAAAAATTGAAATGCAATGCCAATCATTATCTACTATCGACTTGATTTCTCTTGTTTTATTGTAGTCGCTACTTAATAATCTTTTTTTATTCTTTCACACTCATTACCACCTTGTACTTGTTTGGGGTGAAATTATTAGAGAAAGAGGACATTTTACGGTATTCTTTGGTTGTTTATGTGACATTTTTAACTCGAAGTATAAACAAAGAAGGGACACAAGTTTAAAGCCATGGATTTTACAAATTATCCCCAAAAAAATATTTAAAGAAGAATACATTTTGATATTTGCACGATTTTAATTGGACACTTAGATCAGACAATTACTGAAAACACACAAGTTTTTTCTAGTTCAGACCTTTAAATATAATTGGAGACGTTTTAAAAACTAATAGTGAAAATGAATAATCATGAAATCAAAATGCGTTCAATAAAGGAGGGTAAAATTAGGTAGCCATATTCAAAGGTTTATAGAATTCTACTATTGCGGAACTTATTTTGCAGGAGAATAATAATTGATAGGGAGCATTGCTATGAGATGAGGAAATTGAAGTAACTGATTTGATTAAACCTAACATATAAATATATAAATTATGCCATTGTTGCTTTCACCAAGGTGTGGATTCCTTTAACATGGAAATAATTAGAAAGAATCCTTGTGTATGAGAACGTGGAAATAATATTTCATACGAGTTTCTTCAAATCGAATCAGCTGTCCTTCCCATCTGAAAAAGAAATATTATCATAAATTCTTTTAACGCACTTTCCTTGTATCGTTTTGGAATTCTGTAGAATGGATCGGGTGAAATCATATAGTGATAGTGAATGGTTAGACCCCCAAAATAACAGGTGCCGTAAAAAAAATTGAGGTAAAAATGATGGCTTGGGGAATTTCACACTCACTGAACAAGATGAAGAAAAGACGAATATGAGAAAGCAGAAAAGGATCGAACTCAGATTCAGAAATTGATCTAATGAGACAAGCTTGCTAACCGTTACAAATTCAAAATTGGGAAGGCCTAATGAGAGGAAAAAGATTCAAGAGCTCCAAAACAAAGAATATATGTTTACCAAGTTAGATGAGTTGTTGAAACATTGGGACAAGATAACCAGACGAAACTTGAAGGGTCACCCATTCACATGCATAGAAAAGAGAAAAGAAAATTTAAAAAAACGTTAACTGATATATATTAAAAATCTTTGTAGGTCACGGGGTAGAGTCAGAAAGCGACTGCTGTAATTTCTTGGGCATTAATGGCGTTTCACACTCACTGAACAAGATGGAAAAGACTTATGAGAAAGCAGAAAATCGAATACGAGAAAAAAGACAAGAGCTACAAAGAATATATGTTTGTGATGAGTTGTTGGAGGGACAAGATAACCCACGACTTGAAGTAAAAAAAAAGTTTATATATATTAAAATCTTTGTAACGTTTGGCGTATGGAAACTTAGCCTCGAATACGAGACTAAATTTCCATAAGTAAAAAGTTTATTTCCTTCTGGACTCGGTTTAATTAACATCAACCAAATCGAGGGTCTGTTGTTTCGATTCTTTCTTCGAACGTTCGATCTTCTTGAGCGGTTGTGAAGGATACTGCTTTATTAGTTTGCAAGGTTTATACAACTTCCTTTTCCTCGTCTTGTTTGTGTATATGCTTTGTTAAGCTGGTCGACTTGATGTTTATGCCGGTGAATGCAGTATATTTTGGAGTCACTAGAGATCAACACTTATTTGGTCGAAACAAATGTCCGTAGTGTTTTTAAGTCAGTGTTTAGATATTTATAGAATTAGGCGAACAAAATATCGCTTATAAAATTAGGCGAACAAAATATTGCTTATTTCGTT